CAATTCCAAGCACTTATGTGCTATATTTGGTCCACTGTATAGAAAAATGTAAATGTACAAAGCACGTCACTTGTAATTCTGAAAGTATTTTGTAATATTGGACACATTTAACCCATAACTTACCAAGGGAGAACTATGTTGTAACTTGCTTTAATGGGTGTTGATTTATAGGTTGGTTGGAATAGTTGTAAATCATGCCTGTTGTCCTAGAATATGTATTAACTGAAGGGATACCACTTTTCAGAGTGGTATTGAGTGACTTAAATGATACTGGTAGCCTTTCTCTCGTTCTTTGTGGAGGACATGTGGTGTTGTGAAATCTTAAAGCTGTTTCCTGGCATGACAGGTATTAATTTCTCATCTGTCACTCTGTAGTCTGCCAGGATCTGACATCCCAGTTTAAACACAGAAACATCTCCAGATTTTAGTGTGTAGCAATGCCAAGGGAATAGTGGGATTGTCTCAAACATTCCTTTCTTACATGCTGATATACACCATATCTCCTCGCCCCTGGGATTATTTAAAATCCTAAAACAACTACTGTATTTGTTCATGGGGAAGCCATGTGAAGCAACAGTGACAAGGTATTTATGTACACAGTTGATGTTGGTCACCTGGAAGCAAAGTACAAAGCCAGTAGTGTGATTTGTAACTACTCTAATACTTTGTGTTTCTTATACTGTAAAACGGTAAACATCAGCATCAGTTCTTAGATGGGTTATTGTTAGGAACACAAAGGGATTCAGTGATTTGGCAAGGTATGCAATAGTGTTAACCAAGCCTCTGCTACCGGATCTGAATGTATGATGCCACAGAGAGATGAGCTCACAAAGCTGTTTGTTACTTCCTTTTACATGTTTTATTAGCTACAGTGAGCCACTAAAGGCTATTATTACCTTTCCTTCCAAAGCTCTGCAGTAGCTTACAATGTTCCTGTGAACCACAAACACACCTAGTTACTAGGTGTCTGCCAAGCACTCCAAGAAACAGCTCTTATTTCTGCAGTTGGGTTTTGTATGCCTCAGCTCCCTACATCAGAGATCTATGAGTGAGATCACTTTGTCACTAATCAATGACTGGATCTGGAACAGTTTGAGTCGCATCACTCTGGGTGATGAGCACGAAATGTCAAGACAGATTAGAAGCGATGTTTCCTGAACTGAGGAATAAGAAAGGAGCTGCTTTTTCCAGCTTTTTACTTCCTTGCTGCTTGTTTTGCAATTACTACTACCTGTCACTGTCAGAGATGCTGGCTTGTTGGGGGATGTTCATAATTACATGTTCAGGAGCATGGGCTCATTTCAAAAGACACGAGGGGCATTCATTCCCACTGGTAAGCGTCTTTACTTTCAGTGGGCTTTAGAAGCTGCTGCTTTGTTTGATGTGATATGTTTGCACCAAGCAGAATGGGCAAGTCCCTGAAGCAGCTCTGCATTTTCTGTTTTCTACCATGCTTCCAGTGGGTCTCTGTGAGAGATTCTTTACTTGGCATTCCTTGTAACCTTTTGGCTCGGCAATATTCATTCAAATATCCAGTTTCCAAAGGCCATCTGAGTTGCCTGTTTTTCACAGCAAGTACTGACTTCCATGTGGTATTTCATGATTGATAGTGCAGAGAATTAAGAATTGGTGTTGAAGAGAGAAACTAGAAAAAATAGATTTGGGGTGATTATGCCAACCTTCTGTTCAGGAAAATAGCAGGAAAGCAAACAAAACCCTTTGCCTCATTCAGGAGTGAGTGGGTGGTGCAGCCCAGGCAGCTGAAGGAGGGGACAGTGTCAGGATGCAAGCTGGCCCCTCGCACTGCTCAGGGCTCAAGCAGCCCAGGTTTTACTGCTTTTCTATGCTTCATAGCAGCAAGATGGTGGGCTTTTTCACACAGAAAGAAAAACACAGCTTCAGCTTGCTCTCTGACACGTGCTTATGTGCCTGTCTTTTGTGTATGAGCAGAAAGCAGTAATCCAAGGCAGAGCCAAGCACTCCTGCATGAAGTCATGCAGACAAAAGGGCAGATCCAGGTTTAAATTGTATCTCTCTTAAAAATTAGGAGGACAAGAAACATGAATAACTTAAATTTTTTTTCTCATTTTTATATTTTGCTGTCAGATATAATGTGGAATTGAGTATGTTTGCTAAAAATCACTGGCAATACTTCAATGCCATCATTTTGGCATTTTGGACCTGATGTCTTTCCATTGCTTACAGTAGCAGTCCTATCACGCTCACTATGCATAGGTTTCTGTAAAAGTAAACAGAAATTATACATAAAGGCTGGTTCCAGCTGGAGGTGATGGTAAGTTCGTCACCCTGATTCATCAGGCTGAAACTTAGGTGTCTGTTTTAACTAGCCAATCTCTCCCTTACTAAAATAACCACCTTAGATGAGGACTGCCCCCTGATACTGTAACTCTCACTTTGGACCATAGCAATCCAGAAAATTGAGCTGAATTCTAGGCTTAATATTTTGGCTGCATCTAGTTACATCTAATGAAAGAAATTTAAAGCCCTGAAGAAGGTGCACCACTGCCCTGAAAATCACAGATGACATTTTGATCAGTCAACTGAGCAGTCACATGGGTTGAGGCTTTGCGGTAAGGCTGTGGATGTACAGAATGACTTGCACAGTTCTGGTTTTAGGGGGAGCACAACAATTTCAGCAGTGGGAAGAGGTGGGGAAGAGACTGCCATACTCTGACACGTGTTGTCATGCCACCATTTCCAGCAGAAGCATGAGCCCACAGCATTTCTGTGGAACAGAAGAACTAGTAAAAGTAAACTGTGGCTAACTTTTGCCACCCTTCTGCCCATGCAAATAGCAGTGAAGCGATCAAAACTCTTGCCATCATGCTGCTGTGATGCAAAATATGCTGGATCCTGTCTTGAAAGGTCTTGCTGACCATGTTCAGAGGCACCTGAAGCATCAGGAGGTTCTGCTTCCTCCTCCATTCAATGCAGAACACACCAAGCTGCTATCTGGTCCCATCAGCTAATGGTAGCTCTGCTTCCTACCCCCCATATCTAAATGTCTTGTGCTTCTAGCTATTCTGCTACTGCAGAAGTAAACAGGCCATAAGGCAGAGAGCTTCCTGAGGTTTGAGCTGTATGGCTGTAAACTGCCAAGCCTTGGTGGGCTGAAGTTTTCAAAGCTTCACTTTCCCTGTTCCTCACAGGCAGAAGTGAAGATAGGGGTGGGTCTGTCCTAGTGTTTTGGGGGTTGTGAGTGGATGGGGGAAAACAGCTGCTTGGAAGAGCAGCTCACATCAGCAACCAGTTTCCTTCAGAGACACCACCAAATGATGCTCCCATGTTGATACCTTTGGCCAACAAGGACCTCTGCTCACCACCTCCTGCCCCTGTCAGCAGCAAAACACCCAAGGCATCCAAGCCAAGCAGGTGTCAGCAAGCTCATGACCAGATGCCATGACCAGCTGGGCCTCTCCCTTTATCCTGGCAGCTGTGGGCATGGGACCACTGGGCATGCCAGGTACCGGCCAGATGACTTTTGCACACACACATGCACATATACTCACCCACCTCTTTTCTTATTTCCCCTCCCCTGTTCAGAGGGTCATGGTCCTGTTGTTCCCTTAAACATACTCTCCTCCCTGCTCAGGCCCTGGCAAGGTATAGGCTGGCTCGGGGGATGATATTTTGCTATTGTTCGACTACTTTCACACAGCCATGACTGCAAGTGTTTCTCCCATTCCGAATTTTGGCCTTAACCTAAAGCTTCCTGAGATCTCTGGAATGGCAGTGTTGTCAGGCTGGAAAGGTGTATTTTGTGTCCAAGTGTTTCACCTAAAAGCTAGTGTCCAAGGCAGATGGGAGACTGTTCCTAGGCGTGTGTATGGAGGAAGCAGGGTGGGAGCTATCCTCTCGCATCAAGGAGAGTGAAAGGCTTCTGTCCTGAAGGGCCCCACTGGGGGCTTCACTGCCCTGGCTCTTATCAAGTTTTATTCACACAGCAGCAGGTTTCACAGCCCTTATCACTCATCCTCCCCTCCTGCCCCACCCCACACTGCTGTCTGCTGTCATTGTGCAGCCAAGCAGCAGGCAAGGCACACCCTGCTGTTGCTGGATCCTTTTCCCTCAGTCTCATTCCCCTGCAAACCACGCAGGCCAGAGCTGTGGTACTTGGCTGCAGGCTGATCACACAGCAGAGCCACGTGCCAAGATGCAGGAACGGCCCCAAAAGGCACACAGGGGCCGTGTCTGAACAGAGGCAGGACAGGGAGGACTTGTGTGGAGCTCGCTATGCACACCAGTGCAAACAGCCCTGGCACTCCGTGAGGGGTGTCCTGCACATCAGCCGCGAGCAAGCCAGGTGCTGTTCCCGCTACAGATGGGTGTGGCAGAGAGAAACAGGAGCAGCTGTAAGGGGCACAGTTCAGTGTAATGCATCTGTTGATGTGGAGATGTATCCAGCATAGCTCTGCATTATCTGTTAATCTCTGCTGCTAGAAGGCGTATGGCTGAGGCTCTCATGCTGCCCTGTGCCTCAGCTGCCTCTCCCGCTCATTCCCAGCAGCACTCCACCCACCATCTCTGTCTAGGGAAAGTCTTCCTTTGCTTTTGCAAATTCAAGGGCCTAAGGAAACTGAGAAGCAGTTTAGAAACAAAATCTCGTTAAACTGACCATCGACTGCCAAAGCCACGTAGGAAGAGAGATGCCATCTGGGAGTTAGATGACCAAATGCCAGGCCCACCTACACCATGCCTGTTTATAATCACGGAGTTACCATTCTTCCCCTATGCAGCATGCTTTACTGCACCACCAGTTCACACGACTGAGCTCATGCAAACGGTATTTCCGAATGTGTGGACATGAGCCGATTCCGCGAGAAGCGATGAAGCGGGGACGCACCGAAAAAGCCGCTCTTGTTCCCGAGCGCCTCCAGCCCAGCGGTGACACCCTACAAGGCCTTCTGGGGAGGTGGTCCGAAGGGGCCCGGCCAACCGCCAGCCATGCCTGCACTACCCGCCGCTCCGCCCAAGCACCACCCAAGCGCGCAGGCGCGAAGCCCGCGGGTGCGCATCGCTTCCGGTTGGGCCCTCGGCCCGGCACGGGAAAGCGGTTTCCTTCGGTGGAGCCCGGTGTACCCTGCCTCAGGGCCGGTATGGAGAAGCTCAGGCGGGTGCTGACCGGGCAGGACGATGAGGAGCAGGGACTGACGGCGCAGGTACTGACTGGCGAGGATCCACTCTTCTTCCCCCTTTCCGTGCCGGAAGCTTGGAGGCCGCAGAGCTGCGGGGAGCTCAGGGGGTTGAGTGGGGCCGTGGCGGCGGTCGTTGAAGTCTCCCTGGCCTGGGCCCTACCCGTGTCCGCGGCCTCCGGCGCCGCCCTGTTCCCCTCACTTCCCCTCCCCGGCCAGGCACAGGCACCTCACACAAACACACACACGCGCGTTATCCCCGCCATCCCTGGGTGCTGGCCCGCATGCCTGTTGCTCTCAGCGGGAGAGATGGGGAGGCAATGGGAAGATGGGAGTTTGCTGCCTGCGCCGAAGGATGAAATGTGGGCAGCAGGCCCAGAGTTTTGGCAAGTTCTGGAAGAGCGGAAAAGTTATTTGGTGTGTTGGTGGTTTGTGTCCTTTGGTTTTATTTTACACATCCTGCTTCGGGATAGCAGAGTGTTTGGTGCATACTCTTCTTCCTACGTGCCCTTGGTACTCTGTGATCAGTTTAACAATAGGTTTTCTTTCTGTATTGCTTCTCAGTTTTCTTAGGTCCTTGAATTTGCAAAAGCAAAGAAAGACTTTCCCTAGCCAGCGTTTTATGCGTATTCTGTTGAAATTCCTTTTTTTCCTATACTCTCAAGTACAGTTTAACTTTTCCTTCTGCATTGTCTTCCTCATTGTGTTTCTTTGGTTTTTAACTGGGTTTGAATACCATACATCCTGACACTTCTATGTTGAATCAAAACTGAGTGTACTTGCAGGGAACAATTAGTACCATCAGCTCCCTTTTAATTGGTGTGGCTGCAGGTCGAACTGCCCCACATCAAGGAACATCTTGGTACTGCGTGCTAGGGGGTACTGGAGCATGGTGGAGGAAGCTGGAACATAGAACAGCCTGTGTCTGAGCCGCAGCGAATAAGCCTCGGTGAGCCAGCACAGCTTCAGTATAGTTGGTGTCTATGGTATATTATTAGTTCTAGTAGCTCGCTACTGACATGCATCACTTGTTTTTGGACTGAGTTGCTGTTGATCTTCAAGGTTTGTGAACTTGAATTCTTTGCCACAGTAAAACAGCTAAATTGTATCATCACTTGACTGATTCTGGAAGCTGTGTGTCTGTGTTTGCACCCTTTCACACCAGAACTAGCAGCCAGTGTTTGGGAGGAATGCTTTGCCTTCTGATCTTATATCAAGATTATCAAAGCAATACTTGCATTTCTGTTAGTTAAATTCCAAGACAATTAATTAATCTGCCGCCCCCAGTCATATTTCACATGAGACATGTGATACTGACATAGTTCTCCCTCACTTGACACTGTGATGTTCGTTTTAAGGCAGCAATCAATAGATAAATGGCCAAGTATTTAATGCTTTTATAATTGGACATGTGTATCCTAAAAAGGAGGGAATTAAGCTAAGAATGTGTTATTTGTTAAATGTCAGCAAAAAAGTGTGTGTACCTATGCAGAGGTTACTTTCTAAGAGGTAAAGCTGTGAAAGAAAATGTAAGGTTATGCATTTTGTATGTAAATTCTTCAACTGTTTTAGATGACATTTCTGGAACTGGGTCATGTGTTTGGATAAAAATAAGGGCCCCCTCTTTGGAATAGCTGACAATTGTGTAATAGCCATCATACTGTTCCTGTTCATAGGTATCTCTTCATTCTTCTTGACTTTTGCAGAACCATTACCATGAAGTCTGTAGTAATTCCTGTTAAGTACAGTAGAGGTATATAGTGAGACAACTGTGTGATGATTCAGTGAAATCTTTCTGTACTTTAGAATCTGATCTCCTCAGATGACCAACTGTTGCTTCTTGCTGCAATTAGATCAGTTATTCTGTTTTGTTGGATTTTGTTTGGGTTTTTTTAAGGAATTAAAGGAATTTGTTAAAAAAAAATCAGTAATAGATTGTAAATATACCCATGTAATGATGTTGTCAGAGCAGCATTATGTGGTTTAGTTTTATCTACACCGAACAAAAATCAAATCAGTCCGTTTGATGCATTGGCTCCTTTTATGCTGTAGTTTCATGATAGTTGTCAGCTGACAGCTGCTTAAAGCATTTAACAAGATTTTAGCAAGGAGGAATAGACCAGATATTTACATTTCTTACATTTTACTCTGAAGTTTTGATAGAAATCCATGTAAGGAAGCCTGTTAGGAAAAAATGAAAATGTAAATATCTTTTGAAATATTTCATAGGAGCTCAATTCTGCAAATGCACTGAACATTTCTGTCAAATTCAGTTTTCTCCATTAACTGCATATTCTTAAATTTACTATCAAGAAAAGATGCAGTTGTGAACTTCTAGAATCTTCCTCAAAACCTGTAAAAACATGTTTCTATTTTTTTTTGTTTGCCCACATGAAGAACTTTTATAAAATCATTAATAATGGAGGGAGGGGGGAAACTAGGTGGATGTTCAAAGCCAACAGAAATGTTTTTGATCAAAGGCAGCCTTACAGATTAACATTCATATGATTTCTTTTGTGTCTGTAGCAAGCTATTCAGTAAAGACACTGTTGTCACTTGCAGCACATGTATTAGACTATTGCAGGACTGTTCGTTCTATTTCAGAAAGTCTGCCTACCAGATTACAGTTTGCACTTGAGGTTTTCTCTTGATTTCTGGATGTCTTGGTCATTTCTGTGATGTAATATTTCCTTGGGATATCCTGTGATTAGAAAATCTTTGCTTCTTGCCTCAGAGTTTGGCATGAAAAGCTTCGCTGTAGAAAACTGAGGATTTTTTGTTTCTTTTTATTTTTTTATTGTTTGGAAGCAAGCTGAAAAGCAGTATAGGAAGAAGGGTATGTTTTACAAGAACTCCCTTGCTGCCACTACTGCACAGTTCTCTACACTAATCTTTCCCCAGATACAAAATTTGCATGGGAATTTTTTCAGTCTTCTAAGTAAAAGCTTCTGCTAATGGAAATATCAAATATATTAATGCAAATTCTTTCCCTCTGAAACCTAGGACTTGCCGTATGTCTTATGTCAGACAATAAAAAAATTTCCTAATTGCCCCTTATGTTGTTTCCTGCTTTTGTTGCATAAGCTGCTTAGACTTCCGAAGTTTTTCTCAGGATTCTGTCTTATAGTCTCAGTATAAAGTGTAATTAGCTGTTACTTCAGGGTGTCACACAGCCCCTCTTATAGAAATTACTGCTCCTGCAGCACATGCGGCAGAATAGGCAGGTGCTGTGTCAGGTTCTCAGCTTTTACAGGTTGTACCCTGACACTTTAGTACAAGCTGAAGTCTGTGGTTTAAATAGTTGAACTATGTGTCTGTCACTCAGCTTTTGCAACAAGATGCTTCACTACAGGGTGAAACACAGCTCAGAAGGTAACCAATTCCACTGCTTCCATGAAACCTAAAAAGTACGAGGTATCGGGGACTAAGAAAATGCATTACCAAATCTCTGGGGTCAGGATTTCAAATATTGCATCAACTGGGTTCAGCTTGATAATATAAAAGGTGATGGCATCAGAGATGGATGGAGAATCAGCCTTCATTTTAATGCCAGTAAGTTTATTTAGTTTTATTATTGCAAAGAATGCTGTGCTGTGGTGCTCTGGCAGTCCTCATTCCACAGCTTATCTTCTTGCAGTTCATGTGCACGTATCATTAATCTAAGTTTTTAGGAATTAAATCCATAAAATGTATTAAACTAATTTTAAAATAATGTTTTGAATCTTGTGGCATTTTTTGTTCCAAGCCTTTGTGTGGTTCACTTATTTATACTGTTGGTATTTTTTCCACTTAATAACTGTTAAGGATTTACATGAAGATAAAGCTACTTTCAAATTTATACACAGAATGAAATTTATCCATAGTTATTTCAGGAACACCATCAGATATTAAGGCTAGAAGTAGAGCAGCAATAAATGGTAGCAACGTGTCTGATACAGCTGAAGAAATAACTTGCCTTAATCTTCCTGTTTTCGAGGCAATCTGAAATGTGTGTACCAGGTATACTTAACAGTATTGCTCCTTCCACGCTTCATTTCTGAGCAGGGATGGAAAAGAGTGTTACTCTTCTTTTTTCTTTTTTTTTTGGTATGTGTGTGGTTAGTTGTATGAAGAGGTGAAACTAAAAGCGTGAGTCAAATGGGTCCCTTCATTAGTTATGTCCTACCAGCTCTTCCTGTAGTTCTTGTGTATATAGGCATTCAGGAATATGGCTATCAAATATGATTTAAAATCCTAAACTGTCTTTCAGTTACTGTTCTTGTCTGTTTCTTTAATGCATACATAAGGATAAAGAGTTGGACCTAACCAGGTAAGCTGCATTTCCTGACCCACAGGAAGTTCTGTCTTAACAGCTGAGCACAGAGAAGGGGAAATAGAATTCAGAATTCAGCTCTGTGTCTGCTCAGACAGCATGCAATTGTAAAATACTATTTTTTATATCCTGATGCTGCTTCTTAAGTATATATTCAAAGTATTCAAATCAATTAAATAATGTTAGTATTTTTTTATCAGTAGAAAGTAGCCAAGCTATTCCTTGTTGACATAAATTCAGATACTGATTTGTCACAGTGCATAGATGTGTGCTTGAATGTGGCCTTTTTTTACTGTACTAGGTATGGATTCTTCCTTTATATAGATGTGACATCATTCTAAGCAGTAACCAGATTTCATTCATTCACTTACTACTACTACCTGAAAGAGAAATTTCTCAAGGGAACATGAGAAACATCAAGCTTGGTTGGGGAAGCCCTAACTTGTATATTTGGTTAACGCTTGTTTGAAAATATCTGTAGACTAGATAACAAGTTTGCTTGTGTCATCTGAACAAATAGAAAGGTTAGCTTTTTAAAGGCATCTTATGTAAGCTGAAGCAGCACTTCATTTAATAGACCAGTTTAGAACAGGAAGTATATTTAACTGTAGTGACCTGGAGTAAGCTGAGTACATTTTCATTGCAGCATGGGTGAAGATGAGCTGAACATATCAAACATGTCACTTCTGCTGAAAGGGGCTGTTCTGCCAGCTATGTAGCCCTGCATCTCTCCTTACATTAGCCCACTGCTTTTCTGACACCTTGCAGAGCTAGTTTGGCTCATTAGTCTAGCAAAGGACTAAGTCATCAGAACAGAAGGAACACTACTTTCTTTCCACTTCATGAGTTGTGTCAGCTAGCTCAGCTCATTCAGAAGCGTTACAGGTTCTGGAGTCACACTGGAGAAGCAGGAAGTAAAATAATCCCTTTCAGAAAGTTAACTGTCTGATGATTCAGACTGTGTTAATCTGCTTACACCTTCACCCTGTAAGGAACAGTAATTGAACTGGAAACATAATGCCTGTAGTAGATACATATGTACAATGGATTCTGTCTAGTAACAGAAAAAAGTAGTATTTCTATAGAAACATAGAGTGCTGTACAAATAGATACATTCTTCTGCAAATTGCTAGAAGGTCCTGTTATTCTTCTGCTTTGGTACAGTTGTGATCATTTTCAATTGTAATTGTACGGTGAAAAGGCCTGTTTGAAAGTGGAGCAGTATTGCTTGAGTGCCAGGGTATACCTTCACAGGTTTAGTCTTGGTTGGTTGGTTTGTAAATATGTTTCCAGAATGCTAATATAATTTTTTAAACTGAAATAATTAATATGCAAACATATATAAAGCAACGCAGAATAATTGTTTCTGGCTAAAAAAAATACTTTGTTTGAAATTAAAGACTTCAATAGTAAATTAAAAAATGTCTTTTAGATTGTTCAAAGCTGGGTTTGTAATATCCTTTTTTTTTTTTTTTTTTCCCCCTCTCCTCCTATTAAGGTCCTTGATGCCTCAACACTTAGCACTGGTACTCGAATCAGATGGTTTGCCATATGTTTTGTTGCTGGCGTCGTGTGTTCTTTTCTTGTAAGTAAGATGGTTTTTTCCTTGCACTTTATTACTGTCCTACAGTGGAAGTTCATTCGTATTCATACTTCATATGTGATTCTGTGTTCACCTTATCCTATATCCTAAATTTTGTATCCATAAATTTAAATTGATATTAAGTTTATAATTAGCACATAATGGCTGTTCTGTAAATTATCATTTTGACCATCTTCCTTCCATTCACAGTAGAGAGCATTTTTATTGTGGTCTGATAAAATTTCTTACTAGAAGGTTTGAACGCTGACAAAATATGCTGTTCTTTTAGTTAAGATTTGTGAGTGGCATACTATGAAAGTTGTCCATTGTGTACCCATCTTATTTTTATTCTCTCCATTAAATGGAAGAAGAAGGGGAAAGCTTGAAAGGTTTTTAAAGTCTGAAGAAACCACAAGTGTAACCTGTCACACTCACAAATGAATAGGTTGTGACTGTGGTAGCATGTTGACACTTGAAAAACCTGCTACACTCCTTTTGATCTTACAGTCAGCAAATCATTTGTTCATTCTTGAACTTGTTGTCTTGGCAGGAGGCTTAAGCCTGCAGTTGAGAGTTGAGATCTATTAATTGATTTGGTCTGTCAGAAGCTGACACAGGTAACTTGCAGTACAAAACAGGGAAACAGTTCCTCATCTGCATGTAAGAGTACCAGAAGCAGGTGAAGTAACACTGGGGAAGTAGGCAGACTGCTGGGTTTGGTTTTCTTTTTTTTTTTTTTCTTTCTTTGGAGGGGTGTGGAGGAGGAAGTTGGGTTTTTTGTTTTGTTTTTCAGTACGAAGTAGAAAGTTGGTTCCTCTCAAAACATGACTTTTGATGTAGGCCAGCCAGCAGTCTTTGGCTAATGTGTGTGGCTGACACTTGCAGGTTTTGTGGAGGCACTCAGGCAGATTGTTTTGACTTGTAATGTGTTCTGGTAGTAGGATGGAGTAACTTATCCAGTTTGTATTAGTTTCTGGGTTTGCCATTATTCAAGTGATTGCTGCTGCTCTTCCATTTACCATGAAAAATTTTTAAACCAAGGAATCTTAAGTAGTGACAAGAAGCAGCAATTGTGTAGGAGCAATCTCTTGATTGAGGACTCAGAGATAGCCACTTACTGGATTCTCCTGCAGCTGGAAGCTTCTGATTCTTCATCAGAATTTTTTGGTTTGTTAGGCTTTTTGAGACCTAGAGGTAACCCAGGACAATTTCTGGTCTTACCTATGAGAGGTCTTATTTAAGTGACAGTCAGCTCAATAAAGAAACCGTAGAGTGGTATTCTTCATATTGATATCTATGCTAAGTACAGTGACACAGGCACTGGCCAGGGGCAAATTCTAGGAAGGGAGCTCAAGACTGGGTTAAAAGATCCCTTTTTTAAGGTAACTTAAGCATTATTTGGTTGACTCCTTCCCCACTCATTTTTTTTTCTCAAGTTGTATTTAACCAGTATAATCAAAAATTTTAGTACATGCTGTGTCTGTGCTTTAGCACCAATTTTTGGATAGTTAACATCACTCTTTTTGCTGCTATTCTTTTAATGTTTAATCTTTGTGCCTATTATACATGACATCATGTGAAACTATGAAGCCACAGATAAAAGGCTTTAGGATCTTGGTTTCCTCCACTTTCCTTGAGTCATTCAGAGCTTGATTGGAGTCAAAACTCTGAATAGTGTGCTTGTGGACCTCGTGTTTTGGGGAGTTCAGAGGCAGCTCCCTAGCTAAGCTTTGTCATGTGAAACTGAGAGCTGGAAACTCCACCTTCCTCTGGTTCAGATTATGGATCTTTTGGTGTATTTATTATGTTCTGGGCTGACCAAAATTGCAGGTGTTTTTTTTTCTTTAGTCTTTGCAAAGTGCCCATAGGCTTTCCTTGTAGAATATAATTGAACCCTTTTTTTGCAGTTTTTCATGGTTGCTTGTACCTGTGGTGTCTGTGTGAGCAGACACCACAGATTCCCACTGAAATTGTAGTTGGGTACAATATAGTTTTCCCTGATCATCATAGAGACTGCAGTTAGCAGAAGGCTTCGGATTTTTTTGTGCTTTGTAGAAATAAGATGTCTGCAGGTAAGAGTTCTAAAAGCCTCAGTGTGAATCTAGACTGTGAGTTCAGGTTGTTGATTGGAGGAGAAACATGGTGGATATAGTGTGGTTTTATGATACTTTATCCTTTGTGTGCAGAGGTGTATGATGTATAGTTGGGCATTGTAACAAAAATGAATGTGCCATAAATATAAACAGTACAAATAAATGTTAAAAACAATATAAATAAACATTGCCTAGTTGTAAAAAACATCGTGAAATCTAGTAAACCAGCACATTGTTTTGCCACTAGGTGTCAACAGAAGTATGCTAAATATTGACTGCTACCAGTCTGAGAACAGCATAGTCCACTGGTATATGTCAGAATGACACTCTTCATAGTCTGAAAATACATTTATAGACTATGAAATCTAAATAAATTGATTTAACTGTTTACAAACATACAAATATCTTTTCTAGGGAACAGCATTGCTATGGCTCCCACAGGGGATCAAACTTTTTGCTGTGTTTTACACCCTGGGAAACATTGCTGCATTAGCCAGGTATGATTTCTTAATTATTGTTATTAGGAAAGTACCCTCCTTTTCATCTATGCTTCCATTTGCTTTCACTCTAAAATGGTATCTGTTGGCTATGAACAAGATTGTTTTCATATTGAAATGTTAATAACAAAATCTTGTTTATCTTACAGTTTTAAGATAATCATTATTAGTGACTATCGGGTATGCTGATATGCTGGCTGAATGTTTGTACATTTGACAGGGAAGTCCTTCTGCCAGGTACAGAGGTACCTTAGTTTCAGGGGCAAACTTGTAGTCTGCCCATTGCCTGGATGCTTTGTTAGTGGAAGGACCATTTTGCTTTTAACAGAGAGATCATCCTGGTTTTAGGAAAACTCATTGAAGATGGAAAGGTTCTGGTAATCCGCATTTTGACTGTAAGGCCTGGCAGAACCCAAAAATCACTTGCAGTGTGTTTTTAAACTCTGTGGTTGGATCTGTGCAGTGTATCCCACAGCACTTAGTCTTAAAAAGTTTGCAAAAGGGACCTCCTAGGATCTAAAACTCTTCTTTCGCTGTTTGAAAAACATGTAAGAAACAACTTAATGCCAATAAAGCATTTTCAGTTTGTTTGAACTTCTCTTACTATTACAGCATAGTTGAAGCATGGTCATGGGACTCAAAACAGATGGAGTCTGGTTCTTGACTTTAATGGACTTATTTCAGTCAAGTCAGTTTCTTGAGTCAAAGCATTGTTAATCTCTTAAAAATCGGGCAATGTGACATTAATATTTGAGAAATATGATGGTGTACTGCTTTTCCTCAACAGATGTTTTGGGGGACAAAAATGTTTCTACTGGTATTGAGTCTCATTTGTATAAATATTCCATCTCATACTAAAACAAGACACTAGCTAACTAATTTTTTATCCCATTTCTTCAGGTTTGTTTGTGCTTTTTTGGTCTTAATTTTGTGGCCAGCTGTCCTGGGTTCAGCAGTAGCAGTCATTTTTCTCCTTCTTGGTAGCTGGTGCAGTGCAGTGTTTTGACTTTCAGCTCAGGAACAGAGCTGATAACAAGGATGTTTTGGTTTGGCCAAGGACTTTGTGAGCTTCATGCTCTGCCAGGGAGGAGGGGAAGCCGGGAGGAAGCAGGGACAGGACACCTGACCCAAGCTCGCCAAAGAGGTATTCCATACCACAGCACGTCATGCCCAGGATGTAACTGGGAGTTACCAGAAGGGCTGGGAGTCTGCAGAGTTGGAGGAGGTATCAGTCAGAGCTTGGTCGGGCTGGGGGGGGCGAGTTATCGGTCAGCTGGTGCTGAGGTGTTGTATTCTCTTCCCTTGTTATTTTCTTTATCATGGTTATTATTGGTGGTAGCAGTAGTGATTTGTGTTATACCTTAGTTACTAAACTGTTCTTATCTCAACCTGTGGGAGTTGCATTCTTTTCGATTCTCCTCTCCGTCCCTCCAGGAGTAGGGGGAGGGAAAGAAGGGGGGAGTGAGTGAATGAGTTGCCTGACTGGGTTTAAACCACAACACCAGCGGACAAGATTAAAAAATACTGAGTAAAATTTTGTTTGGATTGCAGTGAATTTACAGCTTTTTTTCAATTGAGAGAACTTTTTCCACTTAAAAGAACTTCTGAAGTCTATCTACACAACTTTAAGAAGGGAAAAAAGGGTGAAGAGAAGGTGATATATGCATGAAGCTGCTGTTCAGGAGCATCTGGGTATAGAAGATGATGGGTTTCAGCTTGGCAAATTTTTGGATTTTCTACAAAGAGTGTTTTGTATTTTTGTATTTTCTACAAACAGTGACTTCAGCGACAGGGAAGGAAGAGACTCATCTCAATATTTGAAGCCAAATAATTCCTATTATGGTTGTGAATTATTAGTTCACATTGCATTTCTTTGCATGAACAGGTACAGCATACTGTTGCTGATGGTTTTTATTCTCCCTTCAAATTAACTGCAGAGTAGAAGAGAGCAGGTGGACTTAATACAAACTACTGAACCTTTCTTTTCTTGTTTTGTGCTTGTTGAATTTGGGCAGAGTTAGAACTTCTTGTGATCTTGATTGTAGCTACTTGCACACTGCCTGGGTAAGAAGTTTATTGTTGAACAGAAATCTACAGAAATTCAGTCTTTGTATTCATTGCTTTCTTTTGACAAGTCAGTTCTTAAAGCAGCCTCAATATGAGATTCTCTAGCCTTCACTTGACAATCATCTGCTATAAGTGGTAATGATTTGGAAAGAATTTCATTACCAAGGGTGACTCTATCCATAAGCTGTTTCCAGAACTAAATTCATGCAATATTTCACCTTTCATTCTAGTGGATCTTGTTCTAAATATTGAAATGCCTTTTTAAAACCTTTGTAGTTATCTGACTGTTGGAAAACTCATCACTTCTTGTCTCTTTATTTGGAAATATTTACCATTTGTTTTGTTTTTCCCCTCCTATTAGTACATGTTTCCTGATGGGGCCACTGAAGCAATTGAAAGCGATGTTTGAGCCCAAGAGATTAATAGCTACAGTTGTGATGCTGGTAAATGCACTATCTTTACTTCCTTTTGCTAAAAAGTTTTCCTTTGGCCTCAAAGCTAAATCTGAGTTTTTACTAAAGGTAGGTGATTTCTCAGTTCACCTTTTCTTTATGCTGAGTAATAATAGTCGAGCTGATCAGTTCTGTGTATCATACAGATTATCTGACTCCTTTCTGTAAGCTTGTGGTTTTGTTGCTTATGATGTGTTTTTTTAATTATTTGGAACAAAATGTTCTTTACTAAATATTCCTTACTAATGCTAATATTAGGTTGATTATTTGTAATTTATTTTCTGAAACAATATCTTTGACAACAAGGTTAGAGAGGGACTTTTCCACTACCATGACAAGTCAGTGGTCCCTAACTCTAGCTTGAGAGTTGTTTGTTTGCTGCAGCTCTGTTTCTGTAGCTTAGTGGTTCAGCACAAAGAGAAAATAAATTTTTCTCCCCAAAGTCCAGGAAGCCACATGTTCACCTTCATGGTTTTCTATTGTGAGGTCCTTGGCTTCTTTACTATGACCATCCTTCCTTCTTCCACAAGGATGGAAAAAACAACTCCATCCACAATCGCAGAATCCCTATTCCAGAGCTCTAGGTAGTTAAAAAAAACAAGTTCCTCCCCTTGCTGCTTCTCTGTTTTGTACTTAGTTTCTCTTGTTCCTCCTGATTTGTTTCAGCTTTTATTTTTGAAATGTAGTTGGCTGTGGTATTCTCCCTATCCTGTAACTTTCTTTTCTAGTTGATTATAGCTGATGTGGATAAGAAACCCTTCCTGAATTCTTTCTGGATGGCTGTTGTATGGGCTGTATCTTCTTTCTCACACACCCCTGTGTGAAAAAAAAACAGAACTGTAATCTCATTTGAGCACCTTACAGTTTTTGGAGAAGTGATTTGATCCCTTCTTTGGCTCTGAGCTTTGTTAAAGAAGTGACTTTTTGCCATCTCTTCCAAATCATACAAAGTTAAAAGTCCTAGGGAAGTTATGTTTCATAGGTCTATGATAAAAATGTCTGAGAACACCTCCAATTATCTAGAGTCTGTGCTGAGCATGAATTCTGCAACACTTTACATCTGAGGGGTTTTTCTGGTCAAGCTGATGGCCTAAGCCAGACAGCAAAACAGCCAGCGCAAAAATCATTTGCTCTGATGATCCTGTCATCTGCTGTGCTCAGGCATAGTAAAGAAAGCAACAAAGACAAATAAGTAACCTGCTTTGAAGGCTGTAGGAACAAGTTGCATCAAGTAAATGGAGAGACAACAGAGTAGTAAAAACATCACAGACCTACCTTCCTGTGCAGGGAAGCTACCAGCAGGCTTAGGAAAAGACAGAATTAAATGTCTCTTCTAATAGGGAACAAGAACATTGGATGCAAGTTAAGCCATTAGGATAGAAAATTTCAGTAATACAGAGAAGAACTGGAAAACTAGTTTAGGAAACTTTTGATCCCCATCGTAACACAAAGTTAGAATTGCAGGCAACTCAGGAGTCACAAATCTGTTTGGAAAATTTCAAGAGAGATTGCTATTTTTATTTCTTACAATAAAAGACCAGCGGATTTTTTCAGTGAAAATTAATTGAGAGTTTCATTCTGTTTTCTACTATGTGTGATGACAAATGGAGGGAATTGGGTGAGATTTAGCAGAAAAGTTAAAAGTGATAGTTAAGCTCACACAAATAGTGTGATTAATTTGGCATAGTAAACCATATCATTGTAATGTTTCATCAGAGGCATATAAGAAGATTGAATATAGCTTCATATGAGCTTTTTCACTGTGTTTGAGGCAGCTGCTCCCTGGTGGGCTCTTCATTACTGTCAGAAGATGAAAAACCACTGGCAGAAGAAGCAGAGCCTGTGTTTGCCAAATACTGTAATTGTGAATGGCCGTTTTTAATAACGGGTTGTTCATAGTGATGCACATATGTTTCTTGTCACATTTTGATGTTATGAGTACTAGATCCAAAATGATCTAGTGTACTGAAATAATAGAATAGCTGTTCCCAGACTACTTGGTTGCTTTCAGTAAAGCTTTATAAGCTAAGACCACCTCTTAATAGAGCTAACATATAAGTCTACACAGACCTGGCTGTAGTTCTCCTGGTTGTTGAAGTCAATTCCTGCCTCCTCTTTCTTCTAAGACTTGCCCTATTCCCTTCTAGCCAGGGAGCACAGCATGCTGTGCTTTGGAAAACACCACTTTACATGGAGTTCAGCATACAATCACTGTGTGACAGCCTTTGGCTTTGATTGTTTCATGAGTCAACTTTGAAAATGCTGATTACCCACTGAAAACATGCACATAGGTACTGTATTTGAGTATTCATTCTGTTCTCTCTTTTCATCTCCCCTCAGCTTTGCCTAATACTGACCCTGTGTGCTGTATTCTGGGTAAGTTAGAATACTTCGTTCCTCCAAAGAGCAATCTAGCTTGCTTAGTTTATTGATTGTGTTATGGCTTTAACATATAGTTCAGTTGTAGAGGAAAGATGAGCTTGTATATGTGTGTTACTTCTATTTTCAGCTGTAGTTGAGTTTAAGTGGATCGATAAGCCTGCTGACCACAAAGCAGATGCACCCTTCCACCCACATGTGGTGAAGCTGAGAATACAAAATCTAGAGCATCAGGTTCAGTCTGCAGACCTCTGGAATAAGAACTAGGAAAAGCAGCTTTCGTCTTAGTGCGTAGTGATGTACTTAAAGAATATCAGAGAGTATTTAGTGGTCTTTAGGAACCATGGATACAGAATATTAAACTGATAAAGGAAGAGAGACAGAAGAAATACCTTCAGGCATCTTGATGGAAAAGCGGGCTGTAGTTACATGCCACAGAAATAAATATGTAGCTGAAGTGAACTTCCTTACTTGCAGAAGAACAGTATCATGAATGAACATGCTGTTAAGTGTTTTCCAAGCTACAGAAGATTCTCATATTATGATGCTAATGGAGTAATGGTTAAAATGAATAGAAGGTTGTTAGAGTGGAAAGGACTAGCAAATTAAGGTTGACAAGGAAATTTAGGCATTGTCAGTTAATTACATTTTTGACTGAACAGACTGTTCCAGTTGTTCACAGTATAGACTGATACAAAATGAACTAACCTGCAATATCTGCATTATTTTTACTTAGGGCAAAAAAGGTTTGGCAATGTTATTCTGCATATTGCAGTTCTTGGCAATGACCTGGTAAGATTTTTAACATTAATTTTAATTTCTTTTCCCTGCCCCTACACCCGCATGGTTATAAACCTATATATATCCATTTTGCCTAACATAAGTGTGCCGAAATGCTAGCCTCAATCTGTTTTTCTAAGCTAGGTTGTATAACTTCAGCAAAATCAATATGCAGTCATCTTGCAAAAATGGTATTTTTAAATATATTCTGCAATGTGTGAGCTTATTTGAAGAATTATAAAAGGAATATATATGCAAAAAATTCTCATGCCTTTTATCTGTTGTGAAAGTAACTGTATATTAACATGCCCTGCTTCTGATGATCTGCCTCTTCTTAAAGTTCTAACTAATTCTTCATTTTTGGAAGTAGAACAACTAAATAACATTTTTATATGGTGTATCCTGCCCCAAGAATATGAAGTGGCACTGAGTAGAGATTGGGTGGACATGGCAGGGTAAATCAGCGCAGTACTACGATCACCACCCAGATGTGCTCAGGGAGTAGGCTTGGGAATGTGTGAGCACAGTTAGGTTAATGCTTGCAAGCTTGGCAGAAGTTTTTGAAGTTACTGCTTTCTCCATGGAGATACAAGTGAACATATTTGGTTTCCTCGTCCCAGGTGAATTATGTGGTACTAACTCTTAGCATTCCAAGATGACCACAGTTCTTGTTTGAACTTGCCCTGAATACACAGTGTCTGTACTGGATCTGAGAACAAATAACTGCATGTTCAGGATAGGGACTGTTGGGCATCATGCTGGGCCCAGGTCAATGCTTGATACTGGATAGGGGGAAGACTGCTAACTCAAACTACATTTTACATGTTTACAGCTTTGCATTTGTGAGGTGTCCTAGAGCTTAATCAGGCTGGGCATGACAACGAAATATTAGCTTGGAGGCTTGTAAGAAGCAGGTTTTAGAGGATACTTCCATTATCCTCTATTTGAATGTCACAATTACAGTATGTATCTGTAGCTGTAATTATTCATATTACAGCATATATCTGTATTTAGAGTTATGTAAATAACACGATAAGATTTATATTTGCATAGTAATTTATATTGTCTTTTAATCTGGAAAAAGTTGTCTCTATCATCCTGAAGAATATTGTTTTCCCAGAATTTCCAGTCCTTTTGAATCTGGTCATAGTAAATCTGCTTTTTGAAGTTTTAAGTACAGTAGAAATTATGAACTATATTTAAAAAAAAAAAAAAGGAAAAAGTAAACCAGAAAATCCTCTGCAGTACATTTAGTTCTTGTCCAAATGTGTCATCTTTTCTCAGGTAAGCATTAAATTGAGGATATAGCCTTGTTTAAGGTTTTGTTACAATAGGTTGCTTTTGTTGGTAGGGCGGGTTGGAACTAGATGATCTTTAAGGTTCCTTCCAGCCCAAGCCATTCTGTGATTCTGTTAATGCTGGACTAAAGTGAAATAACTGTGTTATAGGAGAGGCATGAATACTCTGTCAAATACACTTTCTTCCTTTTTTTTTTTTTTTTTTTTTTTCAGGTATAGTCTGTCGTATATTCCTTTTGCAAGGTGAGTGTGCATGATAAAGGTGGGGGTGGGGAAGTCCTTAAATTCAGCATGTGAAAAAACATAACCTCCTCCCTTTCCTTTTTAGAAAATGACAAAGCTGAACTCAAAGTAATACTTGATATAAGCTTTAAATACAAGCAAAGGGCACAGTAATTCTCTTTGTTAAATTTCATTCTAGCTTTCATCACTGAAAATAAATTGAGGCACTTTTTTTCCACATTCTCCAGTGATTTAAAAATACATTGATGCAATAGTGACTTTTCCAGTACTAAAATTAAAAGACAGCATATGGATCTGAGGTCTTAGTTAAAGTATACAAGCAAGCATAGTTTCAGATGTTAAGTCTGCTTCTGAATTCCTCCATCATTCTTAGGAGAGGCAAAGGCAACTCTGTTGATTTTCATTTTGGGATGCTTCTCTGTCTCTTTTAACTCTTGTGTGTACAAAAAGGGAATGAAAGCCCAACGCACAGTGAAACCACATGCAAGTAAACAAATGTAAGAATCTATTTTTAATATGATGTTTCATGTGAAATGCAGCTTGGTCTCTTGGCAGTGTATTTGTAAAAAAAAATTAAGTGCCTCCATGTCTGGTACTACTATTTGGTGAGGTTTTCTGTAGTAGAAGTGGGGGGTGGGAAAGAACAAAGTATCGTCTATCCCTTTCATCTTCCTGTAGTGTTTTTGTAACTTTGCTGAAAAATCTGTACTACATATTGTTTTTTAAGCTTCACTTGATCTAGGGAGGATTAAGCCATATATATATATATATACACACACTGTTTTAAAGACAGTAGTGGATAGTTACAATGGGTTGAATATGCTAACTGAACTCAGGCTTCAAATTGACATCTTGCTATTTCTGACATTTCAAGCTACCCCAGTCAAAAGTGATATTCTGAATTCTCATAATTCCTTTGACCATATGACAGTCCCACTGGTGTTCTCTTCCCTATCAACAGTGCTTTAAGTTCTGGTCAGAAAAACATTAGGTTATACATATCACTTAATAGCTTTGATTTTATTTGTCTATTAGATTTTATGATCAAAAAAACTGAATTTTACCCAGGCTGCTTTTAGTAGTACAGTGATTTCTTCGGGGATTAAGTACTTGCTTATGTGGAATGCTATCATAAATTTCTTGTATAGGCTGCCTTTCTTACGGAAATGGTGATCTAAACCATGTTAAGTGCCAGAGAACAGTGTTATGTGGTTTGTTTCCAACAAAGTTATTATTATTTGATTTAACTCTGTTAATGGTTTACCCTTTACAGTTTACTTGTTCATGGGTTGTTTCTTGCTGGCATGGCAAAAAAATCCCTAAACAAACAACAACAAAAACCATACATACTGTGACTTAAGAAGTCATGATAGTATTTGTCTTCATTTTTCAAATTTACTAACAAGAGAATACAAATTCCACTCCTTAAGCCGATACATTTTTGAGAAAATGAAAAATAAAGGAGTCTGGAGTGAGTGATCTCAGTAGTCACAAAACTATTTATTGTTGGTTAAAGAAGTGGACCCCTTCAGATCTTTCAAGCCTTAAGGCTGAGTCAGCTCTCTGCCCTGCAGTGTTGGTACATGCACTTTAAACCCTCCAGTCTGTGTTTTGATTCTTCCTGCAAGATGATGGTCTAACTTCCACGTGGCCTGTACTCAAAAGTGCACCTGTGCTTTGCTGCTTGTCTGGATTTGGCACACTCCTCAGCCGTGCATTTGCTGGTCAGCCTTTGTAAAATCAGGCTTTGACCTCTGTGAATCCCTCAGGTGTACTGCAGAACAATTTTGAATACTGTCTGCATTTTAGCACGTCTGATTGCAAAGAGTGTGGAAGGCTTAGACAATATAGGCAGACCTGAGCGTCAGAGTGGGCTGTAGCTGGTGCTGTAGATGCACTCAACATAATGATGGTTGTAAAGATCCTGCATTTGATAAACTATTGATTTTTGTTTCTATAGTATTTTTAACTTTAGGCATGCAGTGGTTGATATGTATATGAAAAGAAGAAATAACTGACTTTTTTTTTTTCTTTTTAAAGGGATGCTGTGATTAAATGCTTCTCATCCTGCCTAGCGTAAATTAAAAACAGAAACCACTGTCCACTTTAAAAGGCAACTTTTATTCCTCTGTGAACTTTGCTCTGAAAACTCTACTTTTCTATTCATGAAATGCCCAGTAAGAATTTAGTATGTTCCTTGCCTTCTGCATTTGGGGGATTAAGTATTTTTTACTGAAAACAGTTTAAAAATAAACTGGGCAAACTGTTTGTGTTTACCCTGAAGCTTTTGGGGTCTTTTTTTTTTTTTTAACAGAATGGCACATTTTAAATACTTTGTGCAGCATGGTCTTAAAGCTACCCTGCATCCAGTAACAGTTTATTCCCCAGTGGAGGCAAGCTGATAAGATCTGGGCAGTATGCGTAAAGATTTCATTTGCAGTTCTGTCTAAAATTTGCAATGTACCATTTATGTTTGTATACTGTTAATTGTTTGTTTTTCCAAAGACGGAGTTTTATAAATGTTGTAAAGACTTTGTAAGTTATAATTAACTGCTCCTTTGAAATGTCTGTACATGTGCCTTATGGAAAAAGCTTAATGAGAGTATGTGATAGGTCTGTTTAAAGCTTGTTGGATTTTATTAAAAGCTGTCTTTTATGATGGGTTTTTACTTTCATACCTAAATACTTTTTGCTAAAAGAACTTATCACTAATGTATAAATGAAATTTGTGAAATAAATCAGTTTTGAAGGTGCCTAAAATGTTTTTTATTTAGGAATCCACTATAAAGGGCTGAAAATTAAATATGAAAATATAAAAAGTAGGATATGTATATGACTGCATCCAAAGTTAGTTATTAGATTTGTGGAAGCAATCCTTCCTGCTGGTGACAGGGGACTCGGGCATTCTGGGCACTGCAGCAGGCTCTTGGGCCTATTAGTGTACTGTGCGGTGGGGTGGTGGACGGCCTCTCCAACTCTGCCTGTCACAGCCCTTCGGTGGACCCTTGGGTGAGTTCTTGGTTCCTTTTTGTTTCCAGTATGTATTGGAGATGAGCCAGTATGTGTGTAGGTGGTGATAGATGTCATACTGTCATTGCCATGGAGCACAGCTGACACTGGGGAGATCAGCTGGTGCTTCAGGACCAGGCACTTGTGGGCTCCAGCATCGGTGTTGTCACCCACCAGTTGTTTACACAATCACCTTTACTGTTGTGTTTAATTAGAATGGTATTAGTTATTCAGATAAGCATGTGTAATGGTAAATAACAAAGTTAACACTCATCAGTTAACCGTAAGATTACGTGAACAGAACGGGTTCAAGAGCTGAGGTCCAAAAGTTCCATGAGCTCACATACTTTTACATGCACATAGGTCTGTTACATCATGTGCTTTCTTGTTTTTTCTTGCCTGAACATTTAAGGATTGTTTCTTCATCTGCAGCTAGAGCATACGCTCTGTTGTTTTGTTGGTATCAGTTGGTCATTCTCACCCTGTCTTTGTTTGCTTTGTGTGAATATTCCAAAACTTCACAGTTGGTGCATCTGCACTGTGTGATACCCTTTTCTGGCAGTGTGAAACCAGATGGGGGGAGATCTACCCTTACAGATTGCATACATCCTACCCGAGTAAAATCTGTAGAAATAATATGCTGTAATCTTTTAGACTAAATTTTGGAGTGGTGGTAATCTTGAATTTGTACAAAATGTGTTTACTTACCTACTACTGTCCCATGTACTCTTTACAGACCTTTGTTAGTGTTTAGGGTAGCTTAAAAGGCAGGAAATTACTGTCTTCCTCCTTAAAAAACAAAAATTCCCAACACAATAAATAAGCACAACGCAAGTGTTGAGCATTGTGCTTTTTTTCTCTATCACAGAAGGCACTGAGGCTAGGAAGAAGGATCTTTAGATGAGGCTCTTCGTTACAGTTATGCTCTTGTTCTCCAAATGTTTACGCGTTTTGGAGTTCCATGTGGTGCAAGACTGCTATAGGTACTCGGGTAGCGGACAGCGCTCCTGTCCGCTCTGCCTACCCTTGCTCACGGCCGTGCAAGAAGTCGAGGAGCTCACAATACCATTCATGTGTTGAAGATGGCGTGAAGGTGCTGCTTTACCGTGACATTAAAAGCCCGCCCTTTCACACTTGGACGCTTGAGGACTCTGGGAGGGATTTAGAGCCCGCTGGTCCTTCCCGTCCCTTCGGGTCTGTTGTGGGCTGGGTGGGAGACGTGCGGGGAGAGGCGGCAGCACAGCACCGGCGGCCGGGCCACGGGACTGGGCTATCGCCGGGAGGGCGCCGTCCCGCCCACCCACCCCACGCCGAGGAAGGGTGTTCCCGGGGCGGGCGAAGGGTGGGAAGGGGGCGGGTTATCACGGGGAGAAAGGCAGCGGCCGTCAGCGCAGACAGATCCCGCGCTGTTGCCGCCGCCGTCTGGGGCTCGTCGCCCACCCCTGGCCATGGGGCTGCAGCCCCGGCGCGCTGCGGGGCCCTGCCCGCCGGCGGGGAGATGCGCCGCCTGGGCCCGCGGCGAGGAGCCGGAGGGAGCGCCCGGCCGCACCGCGTCCCTGCCGCCCATCCTGCCGGCGCCCACCGCTTCCCCCGTCGCTGCCCGGGCGCAGCCCAAGAAGCTGACAGCGGCGACGGCGGCCCCTAAGAAGGCAGCGCCCCGGCCCGCGGAGGAGAAGGCGGCGAGGAAGGCGCGGGGAGCGCCCCCGGAGCGGGCGGGCCCCCTCTCCAGCTCCTGGCCCTGCTCTTCCCTTCAGCGACAGCAGCCGCGGAGGCCGCCGGCCGAACGCGGAGTGCGCCCCCCGCCTGCCCCACCGCAGCCGCGGGGCCGCCCGGGTGCGCCGGGGCCGGGCAGCCGCTCCTGCGAGATCCTCGGCGGGGCGCCGGGAGAGACGGCGCCGCGGTTTTCGCTGAGCCTCCCGCCGGAGGCCGTCCGGGTGCTGCAGCGCCGCAGCCTGGAGCGGCAGCGGGGGCAGTCCGGGTCCGGCCCCGGCGGCAGAGCTACCCCTACCCCTGCGCGGCGCGGAGCCCGGGCGGGCAGCGGGGACTTGCGCGCCCTGTTGAAGATATCGCTGCTCAACGAGAAGCACCGCTACGACGACGAGGAGTACGAAGAGGAGGAGGCGGCTGGGGCCGCGGTGGACGAGGGGCTGGTGCGGAAATGCACCGAGTGGCTGCGCGGCGTGGAGAGCGCGGCCGGGCGAGACCGCCCAGACAGGTTGGAAACGCTGCCGCACCTGAGCACCCTCTGAGGCCCTCCGGGGGACCGGGAGAGCTGCCCGGCGGACGGCGGGGCCAGGGGCGGAGGCGGGGTCGCCATCCGGTGTCCGTAGCTGTTGTCTCCTTTGTGATGTCGGCTGCGCCGGCGGCGACCCCGCGAGTGGCAGCGGGGCAACGGCCCGAAGCTGGTCCCCGGGGCGGCGCCGCCGCTCGGCTGAGGGACAAAGGAGAGGCGCCGGCCTCCGCCCGGCAGAGCCCGGGGGCCGGGGAGGAAGTGGCTGTGGGCGTCGTCGTGTCCGTTCCCCCCAGTCCCCCTTCTGCCTTTCCCCTGTGTTTTTTAAGACTTCTGACTACTTTGTAAGACGTGCGTAATGATTTTGTATATTTGTACATAAAAGTTCATTTTTATTTATTTGAATAAATGACTCAATTCCTGTGTTGCAGTAGCCTTGGTAGCCTCGCTTTGGGCTATTCCTAGTAGGGGGCTGCCGGAGCGGGCGCATTCGCTATAGAGGTGTCCCCACGACCCAGGTGACAGACTGGTAACGGTGCGTTAGCGGGTGCAGGTGCCTGTTCGGGAGGGGTGTCCGTACAGGCACCGCCGACTCGGCTCCAACCAACTCGCTACGCCGGGCATTCAGCGGGACGAACCCGGCGCGGCGGCAGTCGGGGTGACCAACAGCGGAGTTACCTGGGCCCTGCCGAAGCGGGGGCGGCGGTGGCCAGGACCGGTCCTCTGGAGGCGCCCCTGACAAAAGGCAGCTGATCAGGGCCTGCTCCTGTGAGCGAGAGGTGAGAGGTTGGGTCTGTGCAGGCTGCCGGGTTTCAGTCCCCTCCCAGGCAGTGATTCAGGCGCATCCGACCTTTCGAGCTGCTGTCGATGTAAAAAGAAGAAGGAGGGAGAGAGGGGAGCGGTCCCATCCTTTGTCAGCTGGTCCCGACCTTCCAGCTGTGGCCGCAGCTGGCGCTCGTCAGGGCTCAGAGGCGAGGAGGGGGCGGGAGAGGATCAGCGGACCGAAATTCCCGGTGGGAAGGTAAATCTTCCCATGCTTATCGTCTCGGCCACTTACTGCCGCTCTCGTGGCGGTGTTACCCAGCTTCTCAGAACAAAAGTGAAAATCACATATTTACTGTGGTACGGTGTTTACAGAATGGAAAACGTTTTGTAAATGAACGTTTGAGCATGTAGAAACATGGTAAGTTGAATTTACTTAGAGTAAAACACAGTTTATGGCTGCAAATTTGGAATTAAACATTTCATGCCAGTTTTTTTTTTTTTTACACCAGATGACGTCTGTGTTGATTGTTCCATGAAATCATGGGAGATAATTTTTCTGTAGATTAATTAGATAACATAGTGATCTGCTACATTTTATGTAACGTTCTGTGTTGCTCCAGGTTTGTTCAAACGCTTTTTCCCGTTTTTTCCCCTGGAATCAGGAATGACAGGGAAGATGCTTTGAGAAAATATTTATTAAATGCATTGGTACAGCTATTGAAAAAATAATGAACCAATATAACACAGGTGTGAAATAGCTACGTTCAAAGGCCAGAGAGAAAATTATGGGTCGTGAGAATGTATGGAGAGTAATTCTATTTCATTTAAGCAAATAAAGGAGGTTATTTGTAGTGCTAGCTATGAAACCACGCATCATTGCACCATTCTGAGTTTGCATTTAGTTCTACCAATTTTCAGTCACATTTTCAAGCAAATATGCCTTAACAATTGGGAATTATCTGCCAAACTTAATTTACACCAGATTAATGTTGGACCCACTTGTTTGTTTTTCCCTCTTCTAACAATAAGGAAAACAGTAGTAGCGCTGTAGCTGAGTTTTCCTCTTATGTTTGTCTTCAGAATGCAAGTTGATAAAAGAGCATCCTGGACTCTTACAAATGTTGTTTCTTACAACTGCTCTGTGCTTTCATATTGACTATAATCAGTGTCTCCAATTCCAGTGAAAAGTGCTTCGCTCATTAAGGGCTGAAGTATGGTAAAGCTTACTTATGAGGCTGAAAGCTGCTTTGTTCAGCCTGAAGTGCGGCAGAAAAGTCAGTAAGTCTGAATGCACAGGAGCAGCAAATACAGCATTAATAGGTGGGGGAGTGGGTTGAAAGGCACTGCCAAGTGTAACAAAGGAGGAACCTGTTCGAAGTCCACTAGAAAGAGCAATCTGAAAACTTGGAAACTGCCTGTATAGATACTTTTTCCCCCTAAAGATTTGATTTGCACAAAGCTGCCCAGAGATCATGCAAGTAAGGTCTTTTGTGTTAGTAAAGTCATCATGTATGGTAATTGGAAGTGGGCCTGAGATGGGCTCATCCTGGGATGAGGGTACACAGTCCTGATTTTGGGCTGGATGTCAAGAGCCACTGAGCTCTCTTGAGTCACAGAATCACAGAATCCCAAGGGTTGGAAGGGACCTCAGAAAATCATCTGGTCCAACCCCCCTGCAAGAGCAGGGTAACCTAGAGTACATCACACAGGAACTTGTCCAGGCGGGCCTTGAATATCTCTAATGTAGGAGACTCCACACCCCCCCTGGGCAACCTGCTCTGAGTCGTTTAACTAATGCTGCATGGAAGAGTACCTCCTTCACTAAACGTTAACATCGAGATTTATTGTTTTCACTATTTGCTGCTTTTCTGTTCTCTTTTAACAATAAATAATGACCTGAGTGTTCTGAGTACTTTCACCTGAAATGCCCATAAATCTTACAAGGGATAGTAGAATAGGCAGAGAAGTTGCTTCCTACATACTAACAGTAGCTTCCGTTAATCTTGCATGTAGCTTACCTTTAGGTTGGTTTTTCTTTTCTTTTTCAGTTAAAAAGAAAACTCTTGGATTCTAGCATCCAAAAATTTTAAGTAAATAAATGTCATAGTTTAAGCTGAACCCAGGACAATTAAACGTTATAAAATGTTTATTCACTTCATTAATATTTGGTGTAAATAGATGTTTGAGCCCAGCAACAGGCTTCAAAAGACAAAAATGTTTGCAGAGATTCAGACAGCAGTAAAAACCTTCTAATAGGTCATTGCATTTGTCTCTGTGCAGCATTGCTATTCAAGATCCATTTTATAATACCAATAAGCATCATATCACAAACTAGTCATGGTTCTTTTCTTGCTGAAAGAGCAAGAGCTGTCTGAAGTGCCAAGAACCGAGACTTCTTCACAGCACCCCCATCCCACTGATCCACAGTCAGTCTGAGCCTTCCTCTGCCCAAGGCATGAGTTGAGGACATGGGGCTCTTGGCACAACTGGAAAATGCAAGTGGGTTGCTGTGAAACAGCAGCTTTCCTGTCCTGTGCTCAACCAAGGCAAGGGTAAGTCCCCGATTCCCAGCCTGCAGAGCTTCCCACACAGTCCACTTTGCTGTAAGTATTGATGTAAGTAAGAGCTGTTCTGTGCCAGTGAACAGATTAGATGTGTTCTAATACATCTAATACTTCTCAGGTGGCATGGATCTGCCCTTTCTGTAAGAACTGACAAGCAACCTGGAAATCACTACATTTGCTTTTTACAGTATATTAGCCATGTTCAAAGTGCCTCAGCCTAAGCCTCCCACTCATAGCATTTTTAGCTGCTGAAAGAGAATTACAAGCAGCTGGTGCCATGGATGCTTGAAATAATCAATACTTGCTTCAGGGTAGATAGCTTCCCTTCTTCCTCCAAACACATCGGTGTGATTTATGGTAGAAAAAGAAAAAACCAACAGTGCATTCTGGGTGTCTCCCTTTTTGTCTTAATAGGTAGCTAATAGGTGGTGGTGACCATACCACTGTGTCTGAGCCAGCCTGGAGGAGCTAGGCACAGGTGAAGCCCATGTTTCTGTAACTGAAAAGCCCCAGCCTAGTGCATCCCTGAGTTTGCTCTGTGGTCCTAGCCCAGATCTCAGCTTTCTCACCCCACTGATGCAATTAGTACCATCTTTCTTCTCAAAGTTGAGGGGAGAGCATGTTGTTGCCTGGCTTTTGTGTTCTTTTGTGGTCTTCCTCACTGAAATGCTTGCAAAGCCCAAATAAAGAGCATTCCCCATGAGCTGCTGTCCATGAACCCCACCTGCCTCCCCAGCCATGCTGAAGGGATCCCACATGCAGCTGGGCAGCAAAAACACCCATTGGCAGCTTTCCCGACAGCAGAATGATGCTTGTCCTGAGCAGCAGCTTTCCTTCCATTTGGGGAGTGTTTTGTGGGTGGTTTTCTGAGATACTTAAAGGCACATTCATTTTTCTCCCTTCAAAAAAGTGGTGGTTTTGTAAAGAGAGGAAGAGCTTTTGAGAAGGTTTGGCTCTGATACTTCTTGAAAAAGAAATCACTGCTTTGCAATGACCAGTTACAGTGATGTGTGAACTCCCAGCTGACACCTGTGCTACAGGTGAGCATGGAGTGAGGCTGATGAACGACCCTTCCAGAGCATCTCAGGCAGCACCAGAGTTACTGCAGCTCACTACCTGGCTGCTGAGAACAGCAGGAATTTTTCTTTTCCCTTTCCAGGGAGGAAAAATTGAAGCAATAGTCTCTGGAAACAGCACTGGGAGTCTGTTACTCATAGGTGCTCAGCTGATTTCTGAGAATATGGGGCATATCATGACACTAACTGAAGGAATTACTTTAGCAGAGCTTCTCAACTGATGCATTCCAGCCCACATCTTCACCTGGCTGCAGGAGCAAGCCAGCAAATGGATGTGGTGTGGGTGAGGGGCTTCCTCCAGGGGGATAAGCTGCTTCCTGGTGATAGCAGTGAGATGAGTGCACAGACAATGACATTAGGGCTTTTAGCCCCTTTTAATTTTATTGAAAGAGACGTGGAAGGGTTTTTTTTCAGAAGGACATAATTTTTTTAAGTCAGATTGTTTCTCTTCTTTGCAACGTATGATAAAGGCTTGAGAGCTCTGGAATGGCTTAAAGTTTTCTTGATTGATTTGTTCTTATGATGTTGAAGATATCAAAAGCATCCAGTCTGTTTTTCAGTAAGTTGTCTTGAGATAATGATCTTGGGTGATTCTTACAGTGAGAGCTCACATCTTGGGTGGAAGTGCTAGGCATAAAAAAATATTTAAGAACCATTTCCACTCTCCCCAGATTTGTTTCACATTGTGGTTAAATGAACTGTTGAGTGAGGGACAAGTGATACTCAGCTTTCGGCACACTGACCAAAGGAATGTAATAGTTCCATCATCTTTCCTGTCATCTCACTTCTGAGTGCTGGTGAAAGCTGAGCTTTGAATGAAAAAGAAGTTCCTAATTAAGCATAAAAGTAAATTAGCATGGAAGCTATTGGCTTCTTAGCAATTAATGCAGAAGAGAGCAAAGTGTAGGGATTTCTAGTATTGTGATTCTTTTTTTAGCATTTATGTGTCTGCCTGAGTTTCACCTGTCAGTGTATTACTAATGCTTCGTCAGCTAAGTCACGTAGTGAGGGCATGGGAAATAATTTGCAGCACTTTCTTTGCCAGGCATTGCCTGAATGGCAAAACCCAAGTGGGAACAACGCTGAGCGATGGGACTCTCAATGCTTTACATTAAAAGCTAACAGAAACTATTTATAAGCAGAACAGTCATGGGGGCAAATACAAGCAAAGCTCTCAGGAAGAGGGGCTTGGTGTGGGAAGGACTGGGTAGTAATTACCAGGGAGAAGCCACGAGGTGCTGGGGAACACAGGACCAGTCCCCAGAGCAGGGGTCTCCATGGCAGACAGTGTCCAGGCCCTCACAAGGGAGAAACATGTGCGTCCACAAGTGTGGGACTGAGACCATGAAACCATTCGAGGTGTGCCTGAGGTAGGACCGTTGGCCAGGCTGTTCTTGCCCTGTCCCATGGTTGTGTTGCTCATCACCTCCCCTCTTTTGCTGGAGACACCCATGACCAGGACAGCCACAAGGGAGCATGTCCTCCCATGCTGGGCCGTGACAGAGCTCTCTGTGGGAAACAGGTAACAGTGCTCAGTAGGAAGCTGTGGCTTCACTAATTTACTTATGTATTTATTTATTCTCCCTGTATATCCATACAGTAACTATGGTTATGTTCTTTGAAACCATTCTTATTTACTTACTGCCTAGTATCTGAAAGTCTTAACAGAGATCAAGACTTTTCCATAGATGCTTGTATGATGCAGTCATGTCCATATCCCCCCCACACCCTTTTTTTATCCTTGCTCGGGCAACCACTATTGTAGCTTCTCTTCTGACAATGAGTTAAATCCACCTCCACTTCCCTCCCATCCCTCACCCCCGAAGCACAACATTTCAAAGCAAAGAGAAAAGAACAAATAGTTGAATAAGTGTTTCTGGGAGGTTGTTGTGTGGAGCTATGTGTTGTTAGGATTTATTCTTTTTTTGCCACTGTGTGAAGTACAGAACAGGTCTTGAGGGTGAATTTCATGGCTCTAACCGAGTGAACTGTCCCACATGTGTATGTGCCTTCTCCACATCGGTTTGCAGTGACTGAAATTTGTTCCCCAGACAGGCACAGGCATCATTAAAAAGGAACACTGGGATGCCCTGGTATTAAGTACTTGTTATGTAGATAATTTGTACTGGTCACTGTATTCAACCATTTGTTCTATGGAGAATGCTTCCTTTCAGTTCATAGGTAGGTGCTTTTAACTTTGAGGAAATATTGTGTGTGGACCTTATGCGGGTCATCTCAGGGTGAAATAACTTGGCTTGGCAGGTGTATCTGGAGGATAATGCCCAAGATGCCATCAGCACGTGATTCCTTTAAATTACAAGTAGAAGAAAAATATTAATCCATCCCTTTCAATCTCATGGCTTCTTAATTTTTCCCACTGAGCTTTTACAATAAGCTTCTGTCAAAATGGGAAATAGTCTGACCCAGATACTGTTAGTGATCACCATAGTATCTTTAATTTAAAACCAGCAATATTGCAGTGGGGGAATAACTGTGAAACAGCAAATAGTGAATTCACGTCAATGCTTACAATGCCTTTTGGACTGGTTTTCAGTTCATGGTATGTTTGGGAATGCTTATTGTGCACAGTATGGCATTCACATCCCTGTTGCTAACCTTGCTATGCATCATACCGACACTTTACTGTTGGAGGGTGTCTCCTTTTATTTCACTTTTTTGGAGCTCTATGAAATGTATGTCTCTGTAGTGCTTCTCTCTGCTGCCCATGGGAAATGCCTCCCTGAGAAGTTAAGATTAATCATCTTCTGGCTTTATTTCTCTGCATTTATCAGTTTCCAGAAGTATGGCAAAGCAGACTCTGGTCTGTATAACAGCAGGAGTTAAAAATCCTGCTGGTATAGTAAATATATATAATTTGTGGATCACTTGGTCCTTTCAAAGGGTTTACTGAAATTTCTGAAAGAGTGAGCCGATGGCCCATTGGCTTAAATGTAGTAATCAGGAATCTCTGCCACCACCAGCAAGTTATTTAAAAAATGCTGAAAGCCACAGGAACATATGTTAAGAATGTGTAGCTGTCAAAATTGCAGACTCGTTGGGGCAAAGAAAAATGGGTTGTCTAGGGCAGTGTGGGAGTGTAAGTAGAACCACAGAAAAGTGATCTACCAAATCGTGCTCTCGTCTGAATGAGCAACTGAGGAAATGTAGTTTATGAGGTTAGAAATGCTAAAACATACATTTTGTAAGTTTGAAAGTTGATTTTTTTTGGAAAAAAAAATCTTATGATTTTCTGTTCTTTTTTCTTAGTTCAGAATGATGAATCTGAAAAGAAATTTGAAGGCAGTAACTACATTGCCAAGCTCTGGTGAATGAATACAAATTGTAAGCAGAAAAGGAGGAGCACAGCAAGCCTAGCTGCAGACAGATGTGCTGCCACTGGCTGATTCCCAGCTGTGTGTGGCAGACCTTACCCCTCAGAGCTCAGCTGGCTGCGTTGCATAACATATCTGCTCCCTACACCAGCCATCATGGCCTGGGAGCTTGGTGGCTTGGGCTAGAGGTCTTCACTCATCTGGTCTGCTTTGAGTGGTACAACAAGGGAAAGCTTCTGCAAGTGGCTTAGTCAGGAGATGCAAATGAGATGTTTTGCTGTACATCTTGTTTGCACCCAGCAGGATTGAATACTTTATTCATATTGCATTGGCTACCATGAAGAGTTTACTCTGCATCCCAATTTTTTTTTGCATGGGGAGGGAGGTGTTATACCGTTGCTACTTAGAAGCAGATGAATACAGAGGAGGTGTTAGCAGCCACGCAGCAGCCTATTTCCATTGCCTCTTGGATGGGGTCACATAAAGAGTGAGATTTCATCCCACCCGACATTCACAAATGTGCCTACATTGACTGTTTCAGCTGTTTCCAGGGGAAACAGCAAGTTTGTGTGACTGGTCCTTGCTCTCACCACTGCCTGGGTACTACTGAGCAGCAAAGGCATTCAGTTTTGCTTGAGAAGCAGGCAGAGTAGGTCACAATCACTTTGGGGGTTTGGCTCTATTTTCCATGAAAACAAAGAAAATACTTTGTCTGTGAGATCAGTTCCTAAGGTCTTTGGTGTTTGTATCTCATTCATAGCCCTGCAATTGATCCTCAGTTAATATAACAGCAAAGTTAATAAAACAACCTTTGTTTTGGTTCTCTGAACATTTCACCATCCCCTTTTGTGGCTGTTTTGTTCAAAAATAAAGGGGGGGGGGGGGATGGTGGTGTAAGAGAGTATATTCTAAGTACAAAGGGAGAAGATAAAAGCATCTGTCTGTTTCTGTACCTCCTACGTAATATTGCCATAGTAACAAGGAGCTGAATGCGGCTGTTCATCACTGAATGCCGAGGTAAAGCAGACACTTCTTATTCAAAGGAATATTAGTAAAATACAGATTTTTAAGGTGTCAATAAAGAATTAGGAAAAAAATTATCCACCTTACATAGCACACTTTGTAAGCTAATAATGAAGAGCCACTTTGAAAGAAAAGCGGGCAATTAAGGCATTTAGCAAACATTTATAACGCTGTAAATCAGAGCGTTTTATTTTCCACACAAAGCCATGCTGAGTTGTGAAGTGCAGTCACAGACAATATATTTTGACATTAAATTTACCTGAGACGAACAGCTCTCTCTTTTCTTCTGCCTTATATAACACCTTTTTGACACGGGACTTGGCTCTGGCTATTGCCAAATATTTGTACTGCAGCATTGACTGGCTATGCTATAATCTGGATTAAAGTATAAGTAGGTAAAGCATTTTGTGTATTAGGACTACATGATGTCTGGTGCCATATTTTAACCATTAAATCACCTCCAGACAGGGTGAAATTCTCTTCCAGGTGTGTGCATCAGGTAAACATCTATATATCTTTGAAATTTTAGTGAAAAAAAGAAGTAGTTTTATTACTCTCGAGAGTAAAATTTGAGAAAGATAAAAATGTACACCTGTTTCAGTGCACTATTACTGGTGTAATTTACTGTTACTACTGCAAATTCTCTGTGCTTTGCAGCAAGAGTTTGGCCTTTAACTTGTTGCATTTCTGTGTCAAATAATGGTTGTCTTTAAAGAAATAAGTTTTCAGTATTTGATCAAGTGATGGGTTAAAAAAGGAAATCTGTTACTCTGCAAACGCTTGCAAAGGTCTTACTGATTTGAAAGGGTTTTTGTTTTGTGTTGGTCTTGGGGTTTTGGGAGGTTGTGTGTGTTTACTGTTGCTTGGGTTTTTTTTTTTCCTTTCTGAAGGCTTTTTCAGCCTGAAGTGTGTTTAAAATGAGGGCTTGAAGCACAGAGCTTAACTTTGTAAGCAGCCACAGCTGCCTCCTGGGAAGAGGAGGTAGGAAGAAACTGCAAGAACAGCTTTCCCAACACCACCAGCGGTCTCTACCAACCTCTCATGCTTCTGGTTGGGGTTAAAGCACAAGGACAAGAGCTGGAGGCAGCAGATCTGGGGAAAGTGATATGTCTTCAGATGGCTGGGTAAATGATACAGATTCAGGTTGGAGCCAGGCTGAAGGGATGGGAAGACTCAGCAAGGAGGTGTGATAGCTGGAGACTGTCACTGTTGGAGCCAGCAGAAGCGGAGACTGAATTAAGACTGATGACAAACCCATGTGATACCCCAAAGTAAAGTTGGCAGGTGACAAACTGGTCTCTCAGGTAGAGCTGATTCCTCTGCTCAGCTCCACACTAGCACCCGGACAGTCTCACCATGTACGGTGACGTGCATGGGGCCATTTCCTTGAGGGGGCAGGAGGAAGGCTGGCACTCACTTTTTCCTCTTTAAAAAGAGTGCCCTAGGAAGTCACGGACACATGTACACTGTGGTTGTGGGGTCAAGTGCGCTGAAGTTAGGTATGAAGTGATGAATCCATGTCTCTTTATTTATGCACACAGGCTTTTTATAAGTGCTCTCAGCATCACTTACTGCCTGGAGCTGGCTCTTCCTCATGCAGCCCCGCTGTGTTTCTAGGAGTTCATTATGCCTTCCCATGATGCATTTTACAACAGCTGCCTGTGCCAGCCACTGGAAAACGCCAGAACCTGTTTATTTATGCAGCTCGTTGGGCCACATGTTGACATGTACTGGTTGATGATGACCATGTTGCCTGGTAAAAGGCTGGCAAACCTGAGCTTTTGCCTCCTGAGCATACTAATGGGGGCTTTCTTGTGTTTCATCTGCCAAAGAGCCTGTGTGGGGGAAGGGAGCAAATAAAGATCACGTAACTTGGTCTCTTTTCACAGTTTGAACAGTTGCCTGAAGGGTATTTTTATTGCTTGTCTGAGAGCAGTAAATACTTTTTTTTTCTGTGAAAATGTGTCCTATCTAATTTGTGGAGCTCCAGTTTCAAAAACAGCTCTTAGGTTTTCAGGGGCAGGGTTTTGGGGGTGGGGAGGAAACTACATTTTTGTGTGGAAATAGGAAACTAGGATGTAGAAGAGGGAAAATTAGTTTATGGGTTACTGTTTCTTGTCAAATTGCCATAATTAAAACAAAAAGCACGTAGTTATAGAAGCAACTGAAGACCAGGATTCCTCTCTACCTTGTTCATGTCCTTGTTCATGTCCTTGCTTCATGTGTGTCCTCTTTCCCTTGTCTAGCAGGCTCAGAAGAGAAGGAAAATGTTCTCCCTCCATGCAGAACGGCCAGTTGTTGCATTGCTCTCCTGGAAGGTGAGAGGCTTTGTGTGTGGTCTCCTTCATGCAGACAAGGTGAGTGCAGTGAATACCACTAGCCTGTTACTCAAAGTTTGCCATTTCATAGGACACTTTTCACCGTTGAAGAGATGATAGTGGAATGCTGTTTCTTACAAGGGAATCCAGGCTCCTATAGATGACTAAATGAATGGTTAATTCAGTGCAGTAAATGAACCATCTGAGTTTAGATTTGAGAAACATTTTTCTTAGGTGCTTCTTTGTTACTTTAGGATTTTCATTTTTAATTTTTTTCTCTCTGCAGCCAGGATATAAAACATGTCAGCACATCAGTGAGAGAGCAAATCTTTGCCACTCAGGAGACCCAGGCTCTGTCAAGCACTATTGATGTGGGATTTGGAGTCTGACTAGGACTCCTGAAATCCAGTCTGTGAGCTGAATACCTAAAACTGAGATGGGGCAATGCAAGTGTTGCCTCACTGCAATTGTATGCCTCTTTTGACTGCTGTGGATTCAGGCCCTTAATTTATATGTGTTGTGATTCAGGTGGTTTTGCACAACAAAAATCTTTCTGTGTGCCAGGAAAATGATGAAGTACTGAGGTTAGGACTGTATTGTATACTTTCTATGGGGCTTTGTTTAGATACTTTAGAACAGGAAGACAATGCATCACCTAGCAGAAGAACAAAGCAATGTTGACACAAGGCATTGTTGGTTTGTGTGGGTTCAACATAATATCTTATGTACAGTCAGCATTTAATTCAAGACTTGATTAACCGGTTAGGAATGTTAGCACGTACATGGGCAGATTTGTACTTGGATTTCACAGTACATTTACAATGACTTTTCAGCAATTGGGTTTACTTTTGACAAAACTGGGATCACGTAAAGGAAGGACAGGTACAACAATGTGTGTATTTGGTTATTCATCTGCTAAATACTACTGCTTTTCCTGGTGTGCATGCCAGGATGCTGCACAGTGTCACTCACCTTTGTGTGATGCCACCTTGTATTGCTCATGTTACTTCCTCTTGTTCCAACAACCACCTATTGATTTGTTCCTAACTTTTCTTGAGGCTGAATTACCTTTGTCTGCTGCTGCAGGAGGTATAGAAACTTAGGGTAAAAGGCCTACAAAGTCTTAAGCATTGAAAGTAGAAAGCTGCATGAGCTTAAAAGGATTCTTAGGTTGTCTTGTTCCAGAAGGTGTTTTAATTGCTTCTTTGTTTAGCTTTCTGTGTTTCTGCTGCACTATCTTCAAGTCCCTTTGATGCTGGACCCAAAATAAACTTCAGAACTGTGTTGGCAGGGAATAGGTGGATAACCACAGACTCACAAGAGTAGGACTCTTGTGTCTCTGTGAATCACCGTTCTTCATCTAAGCTAATCTATATGTCTCTTCTATATGTCAGCGTCCACTGTAGACTAAAGATGTGAGCTCAGCTCCGTGAAACTTACTGAATTGTCTCAGAATGGTGCTGCTGGGAACCTCTGTGTGGGAAAAGACAAATGGGATGTCACTGTGGAACTGCTGCAGTGAGGTGAGGGAAATAGAAAAATAGGGTTGACATGAAGAAGAGTAGGCAGAAGCACAGGGACATGGCACAGCAACAAAGTACCTCAGTCTGTGTCATGGTTCCATTTCTTTCTCTACCACTACCTGACAGGAGGTTGTAGTGAGGTGGGAGTCGGTCTCTTCTCCCAAGTAACAAGTAATAGGACAAGAAGCAACAGCCTCAAGCTGTGCCAGGGGAGGTTTAGACTGGATATTAGGAAACATTTCTTCACAGAGAGAGTGATCAGGCGTTGGAACAGGCTGCCCAGGGGAAGTGGTGGAATTACCATCCCTGGAAGTGTTCAAAAGCTGTGTAGGTCAGGCCATCAGTGACATGGTTTAGTGGTGGTCTTGGCAGTCCTGGGGGAATGGTTGGACTTGATGATCTTAAAGGTCTTTTCCAACCTAATGGATTCTATGATTTTAAATCACAACCGCCCATGTGGTAGCATCATCTTGCCTCTGGAGAACATGAGCACCTGCACCATCTGCCAGCCTCATCTTCTCCGAGGCAGGAGATCCCTGTGGTGTTCACTGCCAGCTCAGTGTGGGAGTACATTAATCTGAATCCACAGTGTAATCAGCACTTATTCCCCTGATTTAAACCCCAGATGTTGGATTTAAAAACAGGATGAGAAGAGGCATGCATGGAATTATTGCTACTGATTTTAAGTTTTTGTCTTTATCCTTCTCACTTACAAAAAGCTGTCAGTGCTGTAAGGTATTGTTGGTGTGTTTCTTTGCTCCAGGCACTGTTGCTGCCTCATACTTGGAGGGTGAGAGCTGCAAGGTAGGTGCCAGGGCTGCCTTCCACTCTCCTCAACACAGTGGGTGCCTTCAGGCCTTTCTGTGTGGTGAGAACCGCCAGGATTATGCATGTTTGCTCGTGTCCTTGGTAGCAAAGGATTACTTACAATACAAGCGGGATTCTTCCTACTGCGAGCAGTGTGTCTATAGAGCAGTGCTTTGGTGTTTAGCCAGTGGGATGGATTTTGCAAAGAAGTGAGAGGAGGAAATAATGGTGCTTCTTGCTTTTAGTGTTGGGGTTTTTTTCTTCTTTATTAGCAAAACAAAGTTATGTTGGTCATTTTTATTTTACTGTCATTTTGCTTGTTGTCTCATCTACTGCTGCTTATTAGATACACATTACGTATTCACTGATTTACAAAATCAGTCACTGGTATTCCTGAGATTTCATAGTAACAAATTGTACTATGTGTGAGAGTACAAGCAAAGTTGTGCAGGATGTTCTCAGTAATGCCAAGTATTTCTGTGAGATGGTTTGCAGATACCAGTATCCTGCGAACAAGAAAGGTGTGTTCAGGCTTCATCACAAACAGCACATGCTAGGGGCAAGTTAATGTACAGGTTTTTAACTGGTTTGTCTTGTCTCTTGGCCACTGGTGTGGGAGCTTATATCACCTCAGAAGCACTGCCACACCAACTGTACTTTGTATGATTTGGGATGAGAGGATTCTTTCTGAAGGGCCTGTTTCTTGGAATAACATTAGAAATTTGGTGAACCCTGGAAAGTATCAGCCTTAGCCGGAGTTTGCTGCTGAGCAGCTGCTAGTTTAGGATAAACCAAGAAAAAACATCAGACTGCAGAAAGAATTCACTAAACAGCATGAGATTGTCTTATATCTAGTACATGAGTATAATCCAGAACTGAGACTGCAAATCAGTGTAGGACAAAGAGCTGATCTGTTTTGTCCTCCTGCTGTCAAACAACCCATTCCAACCCAGATCTCAAAAATGAAAACACATCAGGGGCTTACCCTGAACCTGCACATTGTGCTTGCTTGGAATGCTTACTATTTTCTAAAGCTTAGAGAGGGTCTAACAGATGCCTTGTTTAGTCAGGTAGTGCAGCTGTTCTGGAGTAGTCTAGTTTTAGTGGGGCATTAATGAAACATTTTTTAAATATCCCAATAAAATTTCTGATTTTCAACATGTACAACAGACAGTCAACTAACACAGTTTACTTCTTATTTGTATCAACACTTTGGGCAACCCTTGCCTACCTGTGAGCCACCAGTCCTGTTGTACTGGCATAGGCTATTCGTCTGGACCGCCAATGGTGGCTTGTGTCCATATTTGCCTGCCTGGTGTGGATGTTCCTGCTATGCTAATTGCATCACATGTGGCACCAGAAGCCTTGCATTTCAGTGGGATTTAGAGGTTGTGTAGAAAGACATCTTGGTGCTTTGCTGGTGCAGCCTGCAGAATTTGGGCTGTCCAGTTACGTTCTGGACAGCAGAAGAGTGTCTGCTGAGTATGTTAAACTGCCAATAAGTATGCACAAATTCAACTCCAGTTCAACTCTGGTTTGAGAATCAGGAGCAGGCTCTTGGTTTTGAAGTATGTGTAGTGTGGAAAAGTATAAAAGTATGTTAAGGCTGGGTATATCCTACCTTCATTCTGGTTATTGGCTGAAGTCAGCCCTGAGTTTTATACCTAGGCATAGCAACCCAGGCAGGTATGTTGAATCAGTTACTCAAAGCCTTAGAAACACAGCCTTCACACTAGCTCTTTATATTTTGAAGTAGTTCATTAACCTGTGTTGTTGCTTGAGAGTAGCAAAATCAAAAGTATCTGTGAATTAAAACTTACATGCAAAACATGCATCTCAAAAGATGCATGAATTACGTGTTTTAGCAGGATCTGACTTATGTATTGGCAAAGACAAGCAACCCAGCAGGTATCCATTGCCACAATTGCACAGCCCCTCTTTTTTTTTGGCACTGGTTTGTCTTTGTACAGAATAACCACAAGCAGAAGGGGACTATCAGAGATGGCAAAGAAAAGAGAAGAAACAGCAAATCAGCATTTATTGAGGAAGGTGTGATGAAACAAGCCCTGATGGATCAGCTAATGCCACTATAGCAGGTTATCTGATAAGTGATACTACTGGATTTCAGGATTTGTGATCACGTAGCAATGAAATGGTTCAGTTACCCAGGGACTGGAACTCCCTGTTCAGTACCCAGGTGCCAAGAGAGTTTCTGTATTGGCAGAGCACTTTGTTTTAGCTGGTAAGAGAGCAGATTCTGATATCAGTTGTGGTTATTCTACCAGTATCTTTAATTCATTTATTTATTTTTATTCTTTGTTTATGTCTGTGTGGGCGAGGGAAAAATTGGGCTATATAGTCAAATACTGAAGAAATTCTTAAAAAAAAAACCTCTCCGGCTGTAACTACATACTGGGGGAAATGAGGTTTTTAGGTGCAGTACTTTGCTATGCTGCTTTGCTCATTATTTTCAACAGTTAGTAAGTAGATGACAGTCTGCAAAGTAAGGCTGGTAAGGAATTCTTTGGTCATTATCAGTATAGAGTATTTATCTGTGCATCAAAAATAGCCGACTTTGATTAACCTACATGGCATTCATCAGTATTTTATCTGCCATTTGTGATGCCAGAAAACATTTTTTAAACCTTGTTGTAGTCAGTGTTGTGGGATCGTGTCAGTATTTTCTTATGGTTAATGCTCACCTCGTGT